TGAAAAGAACGAATGATACACGGATTTTTCTGGTTTCTGCTTGTGTCAATTATTCCCAGAAAACAGACTGATAAAACGTACCTTGTCCGACTAGAAATATTTAAAGGTACAAATTAATAAATTGTTTTATTTCCAAATCTTCATTTCTTCAAATACATGTTTATTTTTTATTAAACTTAAGCCAATGTAAAATGTGGCCATAACAAATCATTACTTCAATTTCTGTCTTTTTACCACATTATTTTTCAAATTAAATCTAAATCAATGTGTCAAATTTGACAGCAAACTGGTGTGGCAGCTAGGTGGCCAGCCATTCATGCCACCGCTCTAGATCCACCTGCACTGCCATTACTGCTGTATGTGGAATATTCAGCTATAGGTGTAGCTATGGGTGTATAAGGTTAGTATTGGTATTGTAACCCATGCTGCACTCAGTGACAGCATATTTTAATTAATTCGTCCCACAATACGGTCACTGCAACATGGTGAAGGCCTGGTTAAAAATAGCTCTACTCACTGCGGTCTCTGTTGGCTCTCTCCAGCAGTTCACTGACAGAAAGCTCCCTGGATGTGTCCTCCTCAACGGTAGCAATCTCTGTACAACACATTGTATATATATTGTATATATATGCCATATATACTGTATGAACTGCACATCATCATCATTTTGAACAGGTCATTAAATATGCAATAGCACAAAAAGGAAATTCTTTCTGTATCTAATTTTTGTTTGGTTTTTATTGCCTTTAATAAATAGTGACAGCTGTAGAAAAAGGAAAGGGGAGATAGAGGGTAACACGGACAGCAAAGACCCAAAAGACAGAGTCTAATCCGTGGACTGGCGAGCTCTACCAGGTGAGCTACTAGGACACCCCACAAAAAGGAAATTCTAAATCAAAATAATTTTGCTAATTTACTCCTCAGTTTTGATTTAAATCTGGATAAAGAGGTGTTCTTACCTTCCTGTTTCTGCCCACAGTGATATGAAAAAGGAAGCAAAGAATACAAATTAGCTTACTGAAACCTCCAGAAACCTGAAATTTAGTTTAATGAAACAAAGTTGTTTCTTGCTATGAATGCTTGGAATGTCCAAATAAGAAATAAATAATGATGTGGATAAAGACATGTAAAATTATAATTTCATATATTATTCTAACTCAACTCATTGATATAAAATATAAGATAGATTTCATGATGTCACTTTTTATGTGGTGTTGTGACCAATCAAATGCCTGCAGCCACTCCAGAGGCGTCTCTTTTTCTATAATAACTTTTATGATATTCAGTTTCCGATCGGCCAATGTTACCCTACATGAAGGCATTCATGTTGTGGATGAGATGAGGTGGTTTTGGGAGTTTTGTACCTCAGCCCAGGAAGAGGACCCAAGCAGCAGGATCACAAGAGACCAAAAGTAAACCAACATGGCTGCACCAGATCTGCATTAACCAGAGAGAAAGAGAATGAAGACGATGAGGATGAAGAGGATGTGACAGTATAATAACACTGAGAAATTGAGAAAAATTAAAAAAACAAAGTATGAATAAAAAAGTATTTCATCACAAACAAATAATCCATCCAGGTTATATGTACCATGTCAGACTGAAGTTTTAAATGTCAGTATTATCACTATGCATGCTAAAGCGTAGTGGTAAAAGACCACAGGGTTCTTACCTGAGTGTAAGAAGTGTCTGGCTGTTACTCAGTTAGAGTTTTTATACTGTCCAGATTCTCCAATAAACACATGATGTATCAAAATGTGCAAACACAACAGCACACCTTTATCAGTGTAAATGGAAACTTCTGAGTGGTTGCAACATGTGTGAAACACTGCATCTGTCATAGGCGTGTGCAAGTGTGTTGGTGGGTGTGTGTAATTCAGAATACAGTACTACCGTTCTATGGGCTGTAAAAATAAATCTCATAAAATAAAATAGAGCCTACATTACACATGTGTATTTTTAGAAAAGTTAATTACTGCTGCTGCTGCTGCTAAAACTGCACTCACAAAAAAAAACTCTTTTGTTTTGTTTTGTTTTTTTAACTTTATTGTTATATTAGCTCTTTGGTCATTTTAACTGTGTTCTTTTCTAATGCAGGATGAGCGAGAGTGAAGGTTATGTGAATATAGCTTGTGTTCAGGTCTTCACTGTGCCCTTATCCAGTCAGATTTGTTTTAAGATTTTTATTTATTTTATAAATAATAACTTTAATTTGAAAAATAACAATTTAATTTAGTTTTCTTCACATAAATGAATGAAATATTGAGATAAAGGCTGACTGTATAGTCTTTTCAAAAACATTTCTTACATCCCTTAAAATCAGAAAGGCCTCCCAACCCCCTGTGAAGCTTTGGCGAGCCCTAGTGAGGGTTGGGCCCGCAGGTTTGGAACCAGGACTCTAGGGTGCCCTTCCAGTGGACAAAATGTGGTAAAATGTCATAACTCTGACGCTGTTTCACCAGAAATGCATCATGATTCTCTGCATGCTGGTGCCTGTTTTATTTTTTGCCCCTGCCCCACAAAAAGCCTGCCACTGGCAGTACAGCCAGAAAAACAGCTGCAGTTGCAGGAACATTGTGGAAAGGAACAGTATCATACAGCTCAATTTAGCTGAGTCATTAGATATAATTTAAAAATTACAGTTCATAATAAATGTACATTTCATTTATCCAAAACAGAACTGCTATCACAGAATAGCTGTATATGAACTTGGGTTGTGATTTAATAATGGCCTGGCGGCCTTGAACATACTGCTGCTTTCCATGTAAAGGATATTGAGACATATGTATATATCAATCAATCAATCAACCAGACTTTGTATAGCACTTCACACGTTAAAACTATTTTTATTATACTATTACACTATACTACATAATATATAACATATAACAATAATATATATATATATATATATGGGAAACAGTGCACCTTTCCAACGATACTGGAAGACTCTGACAAGGCATGGTAACTCTCAAATGAGTCAGTGGATAACTTACACATGTACACTTCCCACACATATAGTATAGGTAAGTAAGTAAGTAAGTAAATTTAATTTATAAAGCACATTTAAACACAGTAAAAACTGACCAAAGTGCTGTACAGTGGATGACAAAAAA